GGTTGGTGCAAACCCGATCGGGCCGAAAACGCTATAAACCTAGCACGGCGCTAGTGCTGCACCAGTTTTCTTAGCGCCGTGCTAGGTTTAGATGAAAACTGCAGTAGTGCAGTAATAGTGCAGGTTTAGTGCGGTTCAATGGAACATATTATTAGACATCCATTTTATTGACATTCATTTTATAACACTCCTAAAAATATATATAACTATGTTCGAGAACTTAAATTACTTATTTTATATATAATATTCTGATTCATTAATTTATTTTTAAAACATTTTTTAAAATTAAATTTTTACATTTAAAGAATTTTAAATGTCAAAATGTCATCGCATAGCTATTATTAGAAACATTGAAACTAAACAATGTCATTGTTATAACATTAATTACAATAATGTAATATCATATCATAATATAATATCATACCTTAGCACGAACACAACCTCAATTTCAACTTACACTGGTCTCTACTGACTTCAAAGACAGCTAGTGGAGCAAGTTGAACTCAGTGCAAGTTTTTTGCACCAGGGTACCTATTATGGAAACAATCGGAATGGGTTCCGATCGGAATTATTTCGTTTTCCCCAGAAAACACAATAGAAATCTAGGGAATAATTGAATAATTCCAATCGGAATCCATTCCTATTATTTCCATAATAGATACCCAGTTTTATCATTGGAACATTAAACAGTAGTTTTCACAGTGGGACAACACAATTGCACTCAGTGCGCCCCAGTGTTGCACCAGTTTTTCTAGTGGAAAACGCTATAAACCAACTGCACAATTCACGCAGATGACGGTGTTACGCATGCGCATTGCGAACATTTATCCCTTATTACCTTTCTCTCTCGCACAGATGTGGTTTCACGTTCAGCGCCCTATGCCCCTTCCATTTATGGCCGCGGTCCGATACACGCTCACAACGCTTAAAAATCATTTCATCTTTGTTGTTTGTCAAATGTTAAACGAAGACAAACAATGCTCATGAGCGTTGTCAGCATGATTCGGACCACGGCCTATATTCTAAGTTCTAAGGTTAACAAGAAGGTTTTGCGAACGCGCCAAGGAGATCGAAATAAGTTTTGGAACGCATTGAAGGTTGCTGAAGGTGCGTTCATACCGTTCATACGTTTGGTGAGTTTTGCAGTTAAATTTTTATTTAACAATCTTTTTTTAAAATCTCTGATTAATATTTGGATTCTTAATTCCAAATAAGACCCTGCTTGTTAATAGCTTAAGTAGAACATTACATACATTTCTGCTCTACTGCTATATCCTACATATCGCGCATGAATAATGATCATATTTAGCTCATACTTTTCCATTCGCTTCTTTTATAAACTTGTAAACTTCGAAATCATAATTTGAAAGTCTCATTATTTTCGAGTTTCTCATAAATGATTTAAATATGGGGAAACTACTTTTTTTTGGAGTATGCTATGTAAGGAAATAATCTACTGGTACGTTTCCACTGAGCGCGTGACACGTCGCGTCATGAAAGAGAGAAAGAGTTAAGATTATATAAATACAAAACCCCTCTCTTTCTCTTCTTCGACGACGCGACGCGTGACGCGCTCAGTGGAAACTCAGCCTACGTAGGCTGTGTTCCAAAATTGTTTGTCAGCGCTGCGAGCATGTCGTCATAAGTGCATGCTACCAATAGTGTTCCAATTTCATAAGCATGCTTTTTATGCAAACGCAGCTTTCATTTTGGAACGATATTTTCAGTGCTGTCAGCATATAGCGACGTCAGCGAAAAGAAACAAGTAACCTAGAAATATGGAGAAAAGCATACAGAAAAAATTCGTATTTGAAACTATTATAAAGTTAGCACTTGATTCTAGTGATGAAGAGTCTAGTGATTCAGATTCAGAATTAGCGGAAATTATATATAATTATTACGAACGTCAATCAAGAATACCGAAGGTACAAATAAATGGAAACCAATTTGCTCGAAGCACAAAGATCATAATAGTAACGAGGAAATTAAGGAAGTTAAGGAAACGGTATATACCATTGATGTTTCAAGGATAGTCAAAAACCAGTTTGTTCATAGATGGAATCAGATTTGTAGATTGTTAAACAAAATTTTATGCAAAGCTAAATGATTGTACTGAGAAATAATGTACATATTTTGTTAACGCCTATTGTATGTGAATAAAATAAATTTACTTTTTGATTTCCTCTTGTACATAGGTTATGTCAATTTTTGTATTTGAATTCGAAATAAGAATAAATAAGTGTGACTACAAAAAGCAGACTACAAAAAAATTATAAATCTACTCACTACTTCTTGCTTTCTTAAGGTATATCCACACAAACTTGCATAGCCGCATAAACGTATGCATAAAGAAAATTATCCAATTACAGGGGCTCTATTCTTGAAAAGAAACGTATACGAAAGTCTAGGGAAATACTATAGTATACGTAACGTATACTGTAACATTTCCCTAGATTTTCGTATACGTTTCTTTTCAAGAATAGAGCCCCTGTAATTGGATAATTTTCTTTATGTATATGTTTATGCGGGTATGTAAGTTTGTGTGGATATACCCTTAGCATCTTCTACAGAAACACTGATAGCGTTTTCGGCCCGGCCAGGTTTGCACC